CGGTGGCGGAATACTTGGCAGACCAGGGTAAGTTTATAATGATAATGGGGGGTGAGAAGTTTCTGTGTTTTGTTTTGTGTTGCGATGTCTTTGGTGAAACGGAATCGCACCCATGTCTAAACGAACATGTCAAAATGTCTTATCTGCTTTAGTCGATTTTCTTCATCAAATTTCTTTTTCGTTAATAACCCAACTGCAAAAACATTCCCTGTTGTATTTGACGTTCTGGATGCTAGATGAGAACCTCCTAATCAAACTATTAGTCAAAAATATTTGTTGTATAGCCGTGGTTAGCGAAAGAAATTAAGAGAATCGATCAAAGCATATAGGACCTTTTCAAACGTTCATCTAGATGTGTCATGCATGGAGGTGAGTATACAACAACCTCGCGTGAAGTTCATGATTGCACTTGTGAAGGGAAGTGATATAAGAGCATCGATTTTCCTATATATTTTGGATAGTTTGAATGAGTTTTGACAACGCACGTATCGAGGAACAAATTTCTCTACAGACTTAGAAAATAATACCGAACTCGGTTTAATTTTCTACCGAACCTCTTCGGTTACCAACGGGAAACCGAATAAATTAATTAAAAACCATCGTTTATCGAAGCAGACCCGAATTTCGGTAAAAGAGTATAAATGTGACAGATAGAAATGAAGACTGAACTGAAAAGTACGGTAAAGTATCGACATTTACGAATTCGCTACGTGAAAACCGAGAAACTCGGTAAACTGAACCGAATATTCGCTAAAACGTGTTAAACGTCAAACGTTCCACTTGCGCTCAACTTCGCGACGAAAATTTTAACAGCAAACTCCGTTCTCTAAGCTGAGTCTAAAATTAGTCAGCCATTTTTTCTCACGTTTGCTCATCGGACGTGTGCAAAACTTTAGTAAAAATGGAAAAAGCTCTGGAGCAGCTGTAATAGGAGGATGCACGTTTGATTGAAGTCTTTTGTAAGTATTTGAAACTAACTGTATGATTTTATTTGCAGGCATCTTGTGCTGTAGTTTGTTTCTACTGCCGTGAAAATGCACAAGGTTATGTCTCTGGCTTGCAAAGGCATTTTAAAAACGATTTGAATAAGAATTACTTCAAAGTCAGTGATAGTTTTTTTGACTGTACTTTTCCACGCTGTAACTCGCGTTACGGAAGTTTTCATTCACCAAAGCAAATTAAATAAATATATTTTATACATTTCTTTGACAAAACTGGTTTGTTTTTAATCAAATTGTAAGGCATGATTTGAAGTGAAAACCGAGTGATGCCAAAGAGAACCGAATTCTGTTATTACAACAGGTGGGTCGGTTTGTTTGACAGCGTTAGGAAATTGCGATTTGCGGTTAGGGGCTGTTCATAAACTACGTAGACAGTTTTTTGGGATTCTTGACCCCCCCCCCTCCCCCTGCGTAGACAATTGTCCTTACAAAATTTTTTAAATTTGTATGGGCTGTGGATAATTGTCAAACCCCCCCCCCCCCCCCTAAACTGTCTACGTAGTTTATGAACAGCCCCTTATTTCTGCTTGAATTTATTTTTCGTCAACCGAGATTTTCGGTAACTTCGACATATATTGGGAACAATAAGAACTAACGACAGCTAGGTTATTACTCTTAGAATCGAACAGACTACCGAGCGTTCAGCAGATAAAAACTCGGTTGAAATGAAACCGAATTCCGTAATATTTTTAAAATGTGTATATGGATAGATCTGTAATCGATTATCTTGAGACGCGTTTCCAATTAGTTTATCAAGGATGCCGATACCTTAGCTCAGTCGGTAAAGGCGCAGCTACAAAGCAAGACCATGCTGGAGGTGGCTGGGTTCGATTCCCGGTCCGGTCTAGGAATTTTTCAGGTTGGACAATATTTCGACTTCCCTGGGCATAGAGTAAAAATCTCTCAATTAACAACTGTGGAAATGCATCTAGAACACTAATGCTCTGAACCATTTGGTGGATTTTTTATAAACTTTTGGTTAAAATTTGACAGATGGAAAGTTATCGAATAACCCTGCTATCCGAGCGTGGTTATTTCTGACAAACAAGAAGTTAAATTTTGACAACCGTGACTGAGTTCTTCTCGAAAACCGGTCGATCGACACCACAGGGATCTTCGAACATAGAGAATAACTTTCGAAATGTCACTTTTAACCAGAGATGCCAGATCTACGGAAATCTCCGTAGATCTACGGATTTTACAATTTTTTGCGGAAATACGGATCCGTAGGCAAAATCTACGGAATTCGGTACAGTTTCTACGGATTTTTTCTTCAGTGTCCGTCTCCCTTCAGAATCGGATTTTACAATCTAGAGTATGATCTGATTCAGAAGGGAAAGAAGCATAAAGTAAAATAAACCCCTGCAACTAGTCATCCGTATTCTTGCTCACTTATCCGCTTTTTGATAGAATAATTGGCGTTGACGGCGACTCTGTAGCTCTTCCCTCCTATGAAATATCCCGTAAGCAAACGTCAGACTGTGCGTGAAACATGGCATCTCTTCACTCCGCCGAAAGTTCCCATAATATACAGTCAATCTTTGCTTGAAGAGAAATGTTTTCGACGGTACCGTGTGAAGGCGAATAAAAGTCGTGTCGAGACCAGTCTTGTAAGCGGTCACCGCAGTCGACACATTTTCTGTGATAATCGACTGCCTTTGCTTCCGACACTTGCAAAACAAGCTTTCAAATTACAGTACAAAACTAAAATGTCATACGACAGGCTCTGTCATACGACATTGTCGCCGAAGGCCGTCACGAATGTATGTATTTTAGTTTTTCTCATAATAAGAGCTGCTAATGTTGTGCTTGTGTGCATTCTGAAAATAGCAAGCAACGATGTCCTAGTTATTATGGTCAGATCAGAAATGGTTTAATTTACACCAAATTGAGGAATTAGAACGAAATCACATATATGTCATATGATAGTTATTTGATAATTTTCTTTTTGCTCGAATGTTGTTCAACCGTTTGCGTTATGTCAGCTCGATGACGATCAGGCCTTCAACGTGTTCATCAAAAAGCACGTAATCCATAAGTCGTCGTACTTGTCCGGCTTTATAAAGGAAACTACGGTTAAAGTGTGGCTTTCTTATTAGATTACGAAAACCACTGTACCACCGCTACGGGATCACAACTGATCAGATCGCCAAAGATGGTCTTGAAACCCCTGCAGTGGATCCTCAAATTGAGCTGGAAACCATTGCCGTGGATAATGAGACAAAATTGCTGCTTGGGCAACAGGAAACGCTCCTTTGGAATGAGGACAAATGCCTGGAGATCGCTCCCGCGCAAAAGAGGGTTTCTCTGTCATTAATATATGTGTATTAATATATGTTAATACGATGTTTCTCACACTCAGCGCAAATGAGATGAAGTGGCCCCATTTGTTGAATCTCCTACATCGATTGTCAGAAGGACACAATGGCAATGACTTAACAGATCCAATCCAGGAATTGACTGCACTACAAAGAGCAACTCTGGTCAAAGATGATCCAGTCACGTGCTGTGTGTACTTCATCAAGCTGGTTGACACGATTGAATTTCAGCACCGTGAAAGTCCTCACGCGCACATCTTGCTATGGCTTAACAAGGATCCCCGGGAAGCAATCAGTGAAAGTATGCCAAAAACTACAGGTGCAACAGTATCATGGTATTCATGCCTGTACTACCATCGGCCCTTTTTAGGGCCTCCAAGATTTTCCAAAAGAGTTAAATTTCTGAGAATGTCCCATCTAAAATTTGTATCAAAAGCTTCTTTTCAGGGCAATTATAGTCATACTAAAGAGTATAAACAGAGAGAACCCCGCTCAAATTCCTATTCCTACACAAAACACAAGTCCAGCTGCAGTTAACAAATAACATTTATTATATAAGACCACGTTGTCCAACGTCACCATTGCGTACAACCCCAGAGGGCTGTCCCTATTAGTTTTTCAAAAGTTCTTTCATTGATTTATCATATAACGTAAAATAACACCTTAGAACTTTAAAAAAATATCACCTTCGACTAAAAAAAATCCGTAGAAATCCGTAGATTTGAATAAGTCTACGGAATTGCATCGACAAAAATCTGGCATCTCTGCTTTTAACCAATAGTTAAATTGAACTCGGCAAATGGTCCACAGCCTAAGTGAGAGCACGCAATTAGCTAAATATGCGATAAGCAATAAGCTTGAAATGCGAATAAGAAGAAGAAGCTCATTCCCGGGTCATACCGAGGGATTGAGTTCACATATAAATCTTAATTAAGTTGTGTTATAAAAAAATATTACCTACTAAATAAATCTTCTCTCACTTTTTGCGTCTAAATCTACTTACATCGCGTTCCATCTTTTTTGCAGAAAATATTCATCAATTTTCTTTGGGGCTGTTCATAAACTGCGTAGACAGTTTTTTTTTGGATTATAGACCCCCCCTCCCCCTGCGTAGACAATTGTCCATACAATTTTTTTTAAATTTGTATGGGCCGTGGATAATTGTCACCCCCCCCCCCCCCTAAACGGTCTACGTAGTTTATGGACAGCCCCTTTCTCACCACGCGCGTATCACACGACAGCAAAGTAAAATCTTCTCAGAATCGTAGATAGAATCGACTTTCTTGGGTCATACAATGCTCCGCACCGAACACTCAAAACTGTCTTTTAATTTTGTCGAATCTCTTAACGGAATTCCGCTATGAAGAGCTTTTTGAGTGTGTTGATTTATTTCCGTTTTAATTCCGTTATAATTGCTTATCTTTTGACTGACACGCTTATTTTGTCTACTACTTACAGACTTCAATAGTGCCAAGTACTCAGTGGTGTTGAGTACTTGGCACTGATGAAGTCTGCAAGTAGTAAACGAAATACGCGTATCTGTAAAAAGATAAGCAATTACAACGGAATTAAAAGGAAATAAATCAACACACTTAAAAAGCTCTTCATACTCAAGACTAGTTTTACTCAAATTGAACCTTCAATATCAAACAAAAACAAACATTTGGAAAATGTGACTCACCTTTTGACCACCCTTATGATTGATGACCCGTTGATCGGTTTTGCGAACCATTACCACACGGGACAGCGAACCGCAGTCGTGGGACGATCCGGCCGTCGCCAGCTGCGTAATGTCGTTCATGGGCCTCGTTGGTCTGAAAAGTTAGTTGGAGAAAAACGAACGTCACAAATTGGATACAGCACAGTTTTTCATACAGCTAAATTTCGCCAAAAAAAACCCCACCCCTTGACTATCACCCACCCGTCAAACACAGAAAAGAATCTGAATCGCACCGCTAGGTCACGTTTCTGTCCAAAACGATCCGGTAGACTGATGTGATGAAAGCAGTGCCGCGAGCACGAGCCTTAAAATGGCAAATGGATGATGGTGATGATGATGATGACGGAACAGTTGTTCTCCACCATCAAAGCAAGCCTACGGCGGGGTGCTCCCTAGCCGTTCGTCACCGACGGCGATGACGTTGACAACAGGTGAAACCAAGCAAACGTTGGCAGGATCATCCATCCCTCATCTGCATTGCGCTTGTTCATAATTTTCCAATTCAGGAATATGATGGTATATGGTTAAGGCTGTGTTCCGTTTCGTTAATTTTCACTTAAATTCAAATGAACCTGCTATAGTACCAGACTTATTTCTGTCAGACCACACACTTAGATTTTTTCGCCGAGATGGGCACCACCGAGCAGCTCGGCAGTTTATTTTGCTGGATCTAAGTGAAAAACTTGCCGAGATTCAGCTAACAAACGGGAATTTTGCCAAGATCTCAACTAACAAACATATTTTTTTACTGTATTCCTAGCAAAATAAAATGCCGAGCTGCTCGGTGGTGCCCATCTCGGCAAAAAATCTAAGTGTGCAGGAATCGATTTTGATAAAGATCTTCTCGAAGATCGGACGATTAACAACAAAAGAATTTTTGAAAATTATAACTTATTTCCGAAGCGTTCACAGCCTGAAGCGCTGTCCAGACTGAGCAGTTATAACATGTTATAACGGTTGTCAAATAATTGCAACACAGAAACCACCATCAAGATAGCGCTATAACATGTTATAACTCTATAGTCTGAATTAAAGAGCCTGAATTTATAAAGAGACGACATGTCAAAATTGGAACAATCGATTGTCTGTCAAAGTCATAGGAAAAGTCACTCCAATCGAGCAGAAGACCTGTCAAATGGATAAAATGTCACCTCTTTATAAATTTAGGCTCTTTAGTCTGAACGTACTATAAGCATAAGGGTAACTCTAAGACCAGAAGGTCCCGAAGAAACGAGCTCAACTTTTTGGCTCAGCTCTGGTACTCTCTTCGGTCCCAAGCTAATCGATTCACCCCTCGAAACATAGGAAAAACCAATAACCCCTCATTTTATCTGTCAAACTTTCATAGCGAATCAAAACAAACATTGCGTAGTACTAGAATTTCGACTAGAATGGGAAACGTTAATCGTTTGCTTGGGACCAATAGGCTAGTCAGCAGCGTTGCCAGATATACCGATTTATCGGTATTTATACCGATTTCCGAACTGGATACCGATATACAGATAAGATTCCTCAGAATACCGATTTTTTAAATTGTATACCGATTTATACCGATTTTTTAAAAAATCAAAATTATTATTGCCTACCCGTGCTTGAATTTCAGAGAAAATTACTGTGAGAGATTTGTATCTTTTGGAATAACCTAAAATTTTGGAGCCCTCAAAATTCTTAAAAAAAATATCTTTGAAAATGTCATATGCTTGATACTATTTTGACTAATGTTTCCATTTCTTCACCGTTTCTGACTACCCATGAATCGAGAAACTGTCGATGGCTCTTTCTGGTAATTCTTAGAGAATCGCGAAATACTTTTTAAACATTATTTAGCTTCCTAAAGTTTTTGTTCATTCTTTACTTCCTGAATTTTCTTCCACACATCAAAACCTTATTTTCGATTCCTCCTGAAAACTTATTTCAACTTCCCTTGGAAGCTTCTTCAGCCATCGCTTCCGTCTTCTACCACCAGTTTTTTTAACCTCCCCTGAACTTCAGGGATGGTTCCAGATGTTTATTGCGGATTCACACTAGCTGCAGGAACAGAAGTTCTGAAACTACAGAACAGTTTAGACTTTTGAGTAAGTTCCGATAAATTAAAGATTGTTCCATTAACTTCTGTTCAAATTCCAAAACCCGAAAATTTCAGGAAAGTCCAGCGAACTCCAGTGAACTTACGAAAACATCAGAAATATTTTGTAAACTTCACTAGTTCAAACTTCAGAGAAATTTAATGGTTTTCAAGAAACTTAAATTTGTTTCGGAGAATTGAGAGAACTTTAGGGAAGCTACGTGAACATCAGGACAGATCAATTCATTTCAAGGAAATGCTGATATTTTAAAGGATTTCCGAGAAACTCAGGTAATTTTCCACAAATTTAGGAAACGTAGAACATTGTGAGAATATTTTATGGGAAATTCTATGCTTTTTATTGACAGTGCCAAGAATTAAAATTTTTAAAATCGAGAAGATCAGAGATAATGATACAATAAATTCAAGAAAATTGTGAGAGCACCTAAGGCATTTCGTAATCTTCAAGAAAGTCCAGATACCTTCAAAGATGGTTATAGATATTCAGGTAGCCTCATTAGAATCAGGGAAGTTCCGAGTGCTTGGAGGATGATCAGAGAACTCTAAACAGCCCCATTAACTTCATGAAAATTACAAGAGCTTTTAAGGAATTCCGTGGAGCTATAGAATATTCCTAAGTGCATTTCAGGAATGTTCCGAAAACTTCAGGAGCATTGTGGGGTCTTCAGGGATGCTTTATGAATATCAGGAAAATTTGCTGGATCATTAGAACATCCCCCAAAAATCTCTTTCTTCCGGAATTATGTCATTGTTTCTTTCGACAGTTCCGTAGGCAGTCTGGCTTCCGAATTTCTCCAGAAGTTTCTTGCAATATACCTTAAGAAGTGTCTGCCAGCGTCTTCAGGAAGTTTCTTCCGTCTTCTTCTGGAAGGTTGTCCATAAGCCATAGATTTTCGACTTTTATTGGAAGGGTTTTCCGAACTTCTTCTGGCTTCCCCTAGAACTGGCTACTTCTGAAATTTACTTCTATTTTTCGAAACTTTTCTGGCTTCCTTTGGATGTAACACACTATTTTTTTTTTTCGATGGTTTCTTTGAATATTATTATGTGTTCTTATGTATACACATACAATTCATGTGTAACCACACATACTATTCATTTGACTCATAAATTTCATGCGTATTTCTGAGTGGATTCTGTTAATGCGTGGACACATGAAAATCATGTGGAATTTTATTGGAAATTCGCCAATAAAAATGTGTCGAATTTATCAGTGTAGAAGTTTCTCAATTCTTGTCTTGGTAGTTCCCAAATGTTTCTCCGACTTTTCTTAGAACTTTCCTCAAATTTCGACCAGAAGAGCTTCTTTCTTCTTTCTCTGGATGGTCCCTTCAGAAGCTAATTCAAACATTCCCCGGAGTTTTCTTTCAGAATTTTCCGATCATAGTTCAAAAGTTAAAATTTTAGCTTTAAAAAACAGCTTAAATATAAAATAAATTAAAATAGTAAATACCGATAAATACCGATTTTTTAAAACCTTTGACACCGATAAACTTTAAAACAATCTGGCAACGCTGTAGTCAAGTAGTGAGCCAATTTAAAATCGTTAGTTTCGTATTGATTGTTGCTATAAGGCTGTGCTCCATTTGGTGAACTCTCACTTAAAATTGACATTTCAAAAATAAATTATAGTGTTCGAAAATCCCTCTGTTGTTGATCGTGTGATTTTCGAGAAGGTGTTTGTCAAAATTTATTCCTGGTCTGTCAGAAATAAGTCTGGTTCAATTGCAATTTCGATCTGTAAAATTTAAGTGAAAATTACAGTAATGACCCGATTGTCTCATCCCCTACATCTATTGTCTAACTGTCAAATTTACGTCAACGCAATGCAAACGGATCTAATGTGGGTGGCCCTTAAGACCAGAAGGTCACAAAGAAACGTGCTCAACTTTTTGGCTCATCTCTGATACTCTCTGCGGTCCCAAGCTAACCGATGCACCCCTCGAAACATAGAAAAATCCACTAACCCCTCATTTTATCTGTCAATCTTTTATTGCGAATCAAAACAAACATAGTGTAGTTCTAGAACTTCCACTAAAATGGGGTACGCTTGTAGATGTACTTGGGACCAATAGGCTAGTCAAGTAGTGAGTAACTCTTAAATCGTTAGTTTCCAACCGGTGGTAGTACGCTGAACATATGACGGTAGTGTGTAAACGTCAAACGCAACGAAAATGACTATGCGTGCCGCAGTGCTACAATCATGTCTGTAAGTATTGCCAATCCAGAGAAAAATTTGCATTTGGCGTCTAAATTATCAGTTTTAATAGCATGCTGTGGTTATCAGTTGCTTAGTATTTTTTCCCTGAAATGGCGAAATAAAAAAAAAACAAATGGCTATTCAACAGCAAACTTTCTTTTCTCTAATCTACAATAGAATTTAACAGCTCCCTTTTGCGAGCTGTCGGTCGAACCAGTCTAGGCAACATACCCGCAAAACACGAAGCATTGTTTGTTTTTGCACAGCCTGCTACTTTATGCCTTCCACCGCACATAAATACATAAACTGTGATGGATTGACCCGAAGGAAGACCGCTTGCTTAAGCCTCCATTCATGTGTTTGTTGTTTGACAGTTTTGCCTGTCATCAAACATGTCAACGTTTTCTTCGACTTCTTAATGTTGTGCTGAGTTGTGACATCTTTTAAAGAAGAAAAGAAGTGAACATGACTGCCAAATTGATGGAGTTGATTTATCAATCCATTATTTTTATTGACTGTCTATACACATTAAATTAAATGGGTTACAGTAATTGAACTACATTACATCCGCGTCATTCGGACATTGCAGGACTGTTACGTGTGTTGACCAATCAATCATTGATGTTTTTTGTTGTTATATGTTTGCTGATAAATTTCGGTAAAACACATTCTATCAACGACAGCTGTAGGAATCGACAGAGTAAAACGGACACCCTTTAAATTATTGAATCAATCAACTCTTGAAAAAAAAATAATGATGCAGAGTTCTTTGCTATAGTATACAGTCGACTTTTGCTCGTTGGGCTTA